TCAAACTCATTAATATTCTGTCCCCTAACACCTGTCAGTACCTTCCCAACCCAAACTCAAAGAACAGAGGAGCATGGTTGATGCAAACATAGAAGTTAGAAACCTATGACACAGCAGGCTGGATATGGTGCAGAGTGAGGCATGTCAGGCTAAAAAAAAAAAAGACATTCAGCGCAATTGCCATCAAGGAAGTCTCACAATCTAGCAGTAGATTTAATTTTGTGGCTTATAATACTTCAGGGTATTTGACATGATTCATTTTTCTATTCATACTTAATTCAGTATTATTTTATAAGTTTTAATTGCAGACTTTTGTGAAAGTGTTTCTTTATTCATAACAACTGGCTGAGTAATAGTTGTATCACAAGTTCTATGACTAACACTAGTTAATAAGTTTTGAGCATTTTAGTCATTTTTTGCAGCTTAATAATAAATAAAATATTATATTTTAATAATATGCTTCTACTTCCACAGTTAAATGTGCCTTCAGTGAATGCAATGCTCTTTTACTTTTTTGGTCAAAATGTTTGTATTTTTGCAAACTTGTAGAATCTTTTCTGGGATGATGTATCAAATGCTGAGAGTTTATTATTGTGTATCTTAGGAATAATTTATAGTGAATATTGGGTTATGTAAGGGACTTCATAAAAGTGGCCATTGTTTCAGTGTTTTGTTTTGTTTTTAAATTTTTTTATTGATTTTTTTAGAGAGAGGAAGGGAGAGGGAGAGAGAGTGAAACATTGGTTGGCTGCCTCCCACATATGCCCCAACTGGGGTCGGGGATTGAACCTGGTGTGTGCCTTTGACCATGAATCAAATCAAGACCCTTTGGTACTCATGGGCTGACACTCAAACCACTGAGCCAAACCTGCCAGGGCCATTGTTTCACTTTTGATGTCCCCTTACAAAGTGCTTACCAAAGCATTTTGAAGCCAAAATTGGTGTTTTTTCCCCAAAGAAGTCATAGGTTTTTGTTTTGTTTCATTTTTTGGTAGTGTATTCAGAGGTAGGGGAAAATTTCCTATTTAAAACTGAAACTATGGTGATTACTAGAGCTATTAAAAGTATTAAATACTTTTAATGAGGATGCACATTCTTTTTCTGGATTTGTTATTTTAGAGAGAGAGGAAGGGAGAGAGACAGACAGATATAGATGGGCTGCTTCCTGCACCCAGACTGAGGATCCAGCCTGCAACCTGGGCATGTGCCCTGATTGAGAATTGAATCTTCAGCCTTTTGGTAAATGAGATGATGCTCAACCAACTGAGCCACAATGGCCAGGGTAGGAAGCTCAATCTTAATGCAGAAGAAAATAATTTCATATTTCAGCATGATTTTATTACCTTAGTGAACAGTTTATAAGTTGTGCCAATTGTTTCTAGGAAACATTTATGACTATAACATGTGCCAAACAACCTCTTACTGTATGTAAAGATGGCATTGGCTTTAATAGATGTGTAGAATGTTTTGTAAGGATGACTATGAAAGTAAAAACTTTTTATACTAATGTAGGAATTTGCTTTTTCCGAAAACAAACGAAGAACTTTGCTACTATGCTTTCTCAACTACTAAATGCTTTCTTATCTGTTAATTGTAGCAAATTTTCTGTTAGGAATTTTTCTAAGAACAAACCATAATTCTTTTTTTTTTTTTATCCTTACCCGAGGACATTTTTGCATTTATCTTCAGATAGACCAAGAGGGAGAGAGAGAAACATTGATGTAAGAGAGACACATCGAGTGGCTGCCACCCACATGACCCCAAATGGAGGGGCCAGGGATAAACTGCAACCCAGGTTTGTGCCCTTAGCAGGAACCGAACCTGGGACTCTCTGGTCTGCGGGCCAACGTTCTAACTGCTGAGCCAGACTGGCCAGGGCACAAACTATAATACTTTATGGGTCTTCTACTTGCTTGTCATCTTATGTATATTAAGAAGTTTTCTGCCTTCAGGAATACCACCCAACATTGGTCTGTTTTTTTTTTTAATGCCTCCAACATCTACTAATTTCATTTTATAACTGTTACTGTAGAAGCCAAGTTATATCCATCTTCACTGAAACAAGATTTTTTTATTAATATAAGGCTGATATCTATTAGGTAATGTTCCACTTATTTAGAAAATACAGGTAATGCTAAAGAATGTAAAAGCTCTCATCCAACAAGCCATTGCTAATCTTCATTGGTGACATATGTGTATACATTACATAACTTTTTTTTTTATCCTCACCCAAAGATATATATTTTTTTCATTTATCTTTTCAGATAGAGTGGGAGGGAGAGAGGGAGAAAAAGAGAGAGAGAAACATCTATGTAAGAGAGACACATCGAGTGGCTGCCACCCACACGACCCCAACCGGGGCTGGGGACAAACTGCAACCGAGATACATGCCCTTAGCTGGAACTGAATTTGGGACTCTGGTCCGTGGACCAACGCTCTAACCACTGCGCAAAAACTGGCCAGGGCTACATTACATAACAGTTTTATAGAAATAAGTTTATTTGTAACATTATTTCATGATCCTTTTTTCACTTAGGTATATCTGCATTTTTATAACATAGTTTTATTCACTGCATAGTTTTCTTTATATAGATAAACCCAGTTTCTAAAACACACACATCTATCTATCTATCTATCTATCTATCTATCTATCTATCTATCTATCTATCATCTACCTACCTATCTATCTAGAGAGAGAGAAAGAGAGAGAGAGAAGAGGAGAAGAGAATATATATTTATTTTTGCCTGCATATACAAACATAATACTATTTCAATTATCTATGTAGGTAAACTTTTAGCCATATTTATATTTCCCTAGAATATATTTTTTAAAAGAATTCTTGCATCATAATTTATAAGCTAGTTTCATTTTCTTTTTCTTTTTTTTTTTTTTTATCCTCACCCGAGGATATTTTTCTATTTCTTTGTTCAGATTGAGTGGGAGGGAGAGAGAGGAAGAGAGAGAGAGAGAAACATCGACGTGAAAGGGACCCATTGAGTGGCTGCCACTCATTTGACCAACCAGGGCCGGGGACAAACTGCAACCGAGGTATATGCCCTTAGCGGGAACCGAACCCGGGTCTCTCTGGACCGCAGGCCGACGCTCTAACCGCTGAGCCAAACCGGCCAGGGCTAGTTTCATTTTCTTGTATAAAATGTTATCATAAGGAGTGATATGGGCATCCACTATAGTACATATATGAACATATAACATTTTATTTAAATAACAGTGAAGTTATTTAAATATTTTATAGAAGATGAATTTATGGACAATAAAGACAGAGTAATTGGTACATGATTGTGAGGCTAATAGCTGCCAATCTTTCAGCAGCTATACTTTGTATTATTTTTGAGAATCATTTGTGATATTTATATAAGCTATTTTTTTTTTTTTTAGAAATGGCACCATTGGGGATTGAAAAGACATTAATCACATGCTCTCTTTATTTAAATGGTGGTTTCTTTAAATATCTGCTTAGGATCTGAAATGCAATCTAATCAAAACTCCTTAAGGCCACAATTCTCATACATTTTATTTGTGTGACACTATCAGTACACATTTTTGAACTTGTATTAATTTTTATATATGTATATATATACAAATATGCATATATATATATATATTATTTTCAACCCAAATATTAAATACTAGTGAGGGCTAGTATTTAATATTAAAATATGAAGTAGAGGTTTTACTTCTTTTTAAACACTAAAATGGATAATTTTATGCAACTCTGAGATGGAGAAAACCTCTATTTGAATTCTTTTATTCATTGATCAAAGAACTAGATTATCTCAAAGTTTCCTTCTCCTTTTTAAATGTATTCATTGAATGAACAGCATCAGGCACCCAGCTGAGTCAGAGTTGAGGCTGATTATGTGGTCTGTTGAAGAGGCTGATCTAATATTTCTATATTATTTGATAATTTGTATTCTACGAAATGTTATAATTCATAAATTATTTTCACGTACATCATATCCTTTCAGTTCCTACAATAGTTAAGGTAATCTGGAGTTAAATATCTGCCCCTTAAAGTATGTGGACATTAAATTCAGTGAGATGAATGTGTTAAGAGCTATCATATAGCAGACATCGAAGAGTCAAGACCAGAGCCTCATTTCTTTCACTCGATCTTAGCATCATTATGAAGAGTAAGTTAAGGGTACATCAGTAGTGCCTGGAACCTTGTCTTATTATTATATGTTAACATACATATAGACATATGTGCAAACCCCCCAACACACACACGCATATTAAAACAGGTATTGTATAACTAGAAGAGACATTAGTGCAGTGACTACTTGGAAGAAATTAGAATGTTGGCCTGTATTGAATCCTGAGTTCTCTTAATAAACAGACAAGTATGATATTGCTGTGAAGTCCCAGTTACACAGCACAGAGTCTCCCAATGTACCTTGACCTTTGAAAGTATATGTCACCACCGTAAAGGTTATTTTCACTTATTTGAAAATGCTTTCAAGAGAGATTCAAATTGCTCTGGGGATGAAGAATTGATTGTCCAGCTTTCCTGCTTTTATAAAGATATAATGGCAGTAGGTATGTGAAATATCAAAACATTTCACTGGATTTGAAAATAAATTAATTTTGGTATATTTTCAAAAGTTCTCTTTTATTTTGCACAACTTGATTTGCCCAGTGCTCAATTTCATCCCTATATAAACAAGCATGTTAAAAATATGTCTGAGGAGTTTTAACTTTTGGTATTTTGTATTATCTAATTATTAAGTCTTAGTGATTAGTCTGATCTGTTATAGATCTAGAATTAAAAGACAGCATGCAGCATTCAGTTAATGAGTTAAAATAGGTTGTCTCTTTAGTAGAGTATATGGTTTCTAAGTAAGCAGCAAAGATCTGATGACTGTATTATTAAGCCAGTATATAAATAATACAGTTGAGAATCAAATCCAGCACATGAGTTTATTTACTCAGTTCATTATCTGTGTTTTTACATGTGTGTATACCTGTATGTGTCTTACAGCTGTTATTTCAAGAAGCCAAGAAGGACCAGGAGAAATGGGAAAGGCTGTGCTGATTCCTAAAGATGACCAGGAGAAAATGAAAGAACTGTTTAAAATCAATCAGTTTAACCTTATGGCCAGTGATTTGATTGCCCTTAACAGAAGTCTGCCGGATGTAAGATTAGAAGGGTGAGTTTACATGGGTTATACAATTTTATGTATTTCAGAATATCTCAGAACTTCAGTTGACTCAGATTATTTCATTCTAGAAGTATGTGGTTGTGAATAACTATGCTGTCACAAGAATTTGCTGTGCATACATATGATGGAAAAAAGAACTATTTTCTTCTTTGGCAGAGCAAAATATGTTATTTGAAAAACAATTGCAGAACACACAGCCTAACAGGTTTTTCTTCATGAGATACTTTTTTCTTTTTCTCTGCTTTATCTTGCTAAATATAGAGCAAACATGCTCTTCAGTAGACTATTTTCTTGCCAGAATACAAAGCTTTTATACTTTGATTTTTAAAACTATATGCTTGCCATTCCAGCATAAAAGTAGCCAATTGCCTGTATGATTCTTTGACCCTTTAAAAATTATTTATTATGAGTTCTAGCAATATATGACACTGTTTATAATTAGACGCTCAGTTGTCAGACATGGAGAAAATAATCACTTGGAAATAATAAAAGTGCATGAAATATTAAGTTGAAAAATTCAACTTGTATGTGATTCACAGTAAGCCATGATCTATACAGTTGGATAAGTTTTAAGTGCATTCATGAAATTAGATATTTATTTGCAGTATTGTCATTGTCTTATAGAGCCCTTATAAGGCAACCTCTTGGAACCCAGAAAGATACACCCTGAGATTTTAGAAAATTTCTAAGTTTACAGGTATGTTCTAGAACATACTTCTAGGCAATTAGGAGTTGTTCTTTTAGGCATGTAATGACTTTTCTATATACAACAAAATCCTAGTTACTGCAAATAAAATTTGCCACATATAATCGGTTATAGTACATTAGTAGTGTAGTGATATTCACATCATAATACTAAACCTGAATTTTTCCTCCTTTCTGAATTACTTCAAATGAGCCCAAAGTAGAGTAACTGAAACCTTATTAAGATGGCTGGGCCGAGTTGTCAGATGGTTCATTTGGTAGCTAAATAACTGTTTTTGTATATTCTTATATGCTTTCAAAATGTCTCTCTCAACAAAACCACAAGTAACTATAGATTATGGATTATTTTGGTCCCCAGGAAATGGTTAAAACATCAAATATTACATTTGTGCCTTCCAAAAATCTAAATAATTTTATAGGTAGTTTTGTCCATATTTGTACTTTTTAAATATATATATATAGAGAGAAACTTTGCATTTCAAAAAGTACATTCTTTTGATTATTTTATATGCTAAATATATAATGTTATAATGTTGTATTTATTATTTTTATACCCATGCTGTGATTAAAAGGGGTAAATGTGATACTTAGACATTCAGAAAAACCAGGTTAGCATTAGTTCAAATGTATAAAAATTTTTATTTTTAACTATGGGGACATAAATTAAATTTTATATCAGATCTGGGGTGATTAAGGAAATAATCAATTTAGTATGGAACCATCATTTTAGAAAAAGTAAAACCTTCATTGAGAATCCATTGAAAATAAATTTGGCCAGTGCTAGATCTGCTTTTAAGCATCACTTCACATATTAAGCACTTGAATAATTAAGCCCTAAACTGTAGAACCATTCAACATTTTTAAAATGGAGGATGCAAATTGTTTAGTATTAAAAAGTTCACAAAACTTAAAGTTTGAGATTTTGCAAACAGTCTATAAAGTAATATTAATGAAATAAATAATTTTCCATTTCATTTTTATATCACAACATAGTGTATGCTATTAGTACAACAAACAAATAAACAAAAAACATAAGCACCATCCCAATTTCCTAGATAAATCATGAAGTGTTTGCAAAGTCCACTGAGGTCATTTGCAAGTCATCTTGAGTGACTCAGCCTTGTGACTGCCTGGGAACAAATGTTGAAAAACACACCATGAATCAGATATTCAAACTGTTATTTAAAAGATGTCAAAATCTATTAATACTCATTTGATGTAGAAAACATTTTTTTTTTCAGTTTTGGTATTAGTTACAGTTTATATTTGAATATTTATATCTTAAAGGGATGGGAGCACATTGAGAAAGCGTAAATGATGAATGAAATAAATTTAGGCAATATAAAAAGTTAAGATTTACAAATAATTACTTTTAAAAAGCTTATCTAGTGGAAAACTTGAATTGATATTTATTTAGAACGTGTCTGCACTGCTCAAACAGTGAATTCATTAACATATCTCACCATTTTACTAGATAAGCCCTTAAACGGGCTCATTTGAATACAGAAAATTGTTCAAATAATTTAATGTTATATTTGGTTTTAACTTAAATCTACAAATATTTGAAGATGTTTTCAGATGAAAACACCTATGCAAATACTTCATGCTTTCACAGAGAAGAGACAAGATAACAACAGTTTTTCGTGGAGGCAATTGCCATGAGACCTCAGGACAAATTGAAGTTAATTTCTGGGATGTCCACCCCTAGGGATGCTTAAGTACTTATATTAATTTACATATTCACTTAATATACTAAATTTATTAATATTTGAAATACAGCTCCATGAAAGTTGCAAACATCACATTTGGGTTTGCTCATGCTTCTATAGTCAATATTTTCTCATGTTCTAGGCTTTCCTGAAAGTAGAGAAAAGAGCTTGATTATGATCATAATCAATGAGGTGGGTACATGACTCTATTCCATTAAATGCAAAACAAATAAGGGGAATAAAAAGTCGACTCTGGAGATTTTTTTCAAGTAATTAGGTGGAAAATCTTTAGATATGGAACCAAAATACATAAGTTTAATATATAAGGCTTACTGTTGGATCTTGGGTAAGTCATCATCAACCAATCAACAAATCTTTGTTATTTGCTTAATACAAGCTTAGATTTGAGAATAAAAATAAATAGATATGTCAGTTCCTGACTATGAAGATATAAGGAATATATTTACCTAAACAATTAACTGCAATATTGTATGAACAAAGCAATAATTGCAAAAATGACAAAGTAAGAATAAGATTGGACTGAGTTCCTGTTGAAATTATTATTATTATTATTATTGTTATTGTTATTCTTTGGAATTATCTTATGCCTCAGTCTCCTTTTTTGGACTAAGCAGGGTAACTTTTTAAGCAATCAGCTTCTCACTTTACTCTGAAATTCTTTTTGAGTAAGAAATTAGAAGTAATTATTGAGTGAATATTTATTTTTAAAAAGCTATGGACATTATAAATTAAAGCAAAGTGTTAGGTTTCTTTAGCATTTACTTGTAGTCAGATATTTAATAGCACTTTAATTTCTGGTATTGAGTTATTTGAAGGTTAAAATGCAGCTGGCATTTAAATTATATTTTATCAGGGAAAAATGAGAAAAGAGGAAATTTATTTTAGCTATTTATATAAGAAGCAACTAACTGCTTCTTATGTATGCACATTTGCAAGCTGATAAGGAAAAAAAACTAGCAATCTTACATTATTAATGAAAGAAGAACAGTAGCATACAAATGCTGAATAAATTTTCTTCAAAAACAAAGAGTTTATTTACTACATAAAATAGAAATAAACCATAGAACATATTTTTCTGTGCTCAATTTCATAAGTGTACCTGTTCATTTACATGGATTGCCTTTCTCATGAATGAAAAAACGATAAATCTAACATTCATTGCACAAAGGAGAAATAGAAAATGAGAATATTAATTGGATTTCTGATCTCTATTCCACATCTTTTTAATTTGAGAATTACTACAACTTTCATATGCTGGCAAAATTTTTGCCTGTAAAGATAATTTCTATAATACTTGATTTATGTAATATGCTCATGTGTGGAATTAATTTTACTACCTAAATTGAAAGTGATGTGTAAAAATGTCTGCACATGTATGTTTATGTGTGCATATTATATATAAATATATATATATAATATATATATATACACACACATATATATTTGAATAAGATGGAGATGATAGGTATGATTATTATTCTTTTTGGGATAATAGCACTGTTTTAAGATAACTTTTCTTCAAATAAGAATGTTGAGAAAAATATTACTAGGTATGTTCTCTTTCTTTCTTCCTTTCTTTCTTTCTTTTGAAAATTTATTTATTTATTTTTGTTACAAATGTTTCTCCTTTTCTCTCCACTGATTCACCCCCCTCCCTCCCTGCCCCGTCCCCAGTTTTGTTGTCCATGTCCATTGTTCATGCATGCAAGCATATACGTTCTGTGGTTTATCTCTCCCTCACCACACCCTCGTCTGGGGACTGTCAGTCTTTAGCCCACTTCCACGTCTCTGGGACTACCCCATTCCTCAGACTGTTATGTTCATTATATTCCACAAATAAGTGACATCATATGATACTTGTATTTCTCTGTTTGGCTTGTTTCACTTATGATGATACTTTCCAGGTCCATTCATGTAGTCTCAAAGGATAAGAGCTCTTTCTCTCTTACAGCTGCATAGTACTCAATTGTGTATATGTACCATAAATTTTTATCCATTCGTCTATTGATGGACACTTGAGCTGTTTCCAGATCTTAGCTATTATAAATAGTGCTGCTATAAACATGGGGGTACATATATTCTTTCTGATTAGTGTCTCAAACTTCTTAAGGTATATTCCTAGAAGTGGGATCACTGGGTCAAATGGAAGTTCAATTTTTAATTTTTTGAGGTAACACCATATTGTTTTCCTTAGTGGCTGCACCAGTCTGCATTCCCACCAGCAGTGTACTAGAGTCCCCTTTTCTCTACACCCTCACCAACACTTGTTGTTTGATGATTTGTTGATGGCGGCCATTCTGACAGGTGTGAGGTGATACCTCATTGTTGTCTTAATTTGCATCTTTTTGATGATTTGTGATGTTGAGAATTTCTTCATATGTCTCTTAGCCATTTGTATGTACTGTTTTGAGAGGTGTCTATTTAGTTGCTCTGCCCATTTTTTAATTGGGTTCTTTGTCTTCCTTTTGTGGAGTTGTATGAGCACTCTCTATATATTGGAAATTACCCCCTTATCTGATATATCATTGGCAATTATACTCTCCCATACAGTGG